GCTCTTCTCCCTCTCCCTCTCCACGATTCTCTCTCTGCTTCCAATTCTTCATGTTAATGGTTCTCTGATTCTGCTTGTTTAATTTTGTTTGATGGGTTTCTTGAAGAAAATGCCACTAGTTCCATACGCATGCACAAAACGCCTTTCTCAGTGTGGTTTGTGCTTTCCTTTTGCTATGCGTTGAGTTTGTGCTGTTTCTCGGGGAAGGAGATGTTGATATGGAAACTTGCTTTGCCCGATTTCGCTATTCTTCTGCTACTTCTGATGCGGAATTGTTTCAATCTCAAGCTTCTAATTTCTACTATGCTTCTGGTTTTGTGTCTCTGGTTCTACTTTTGGGATTTGTTTTCTGGGTTTTATATGAAGAAAATGCGGGAACTTTTGCTATAATTCTTCACATTGATCCCACAAAAAAGGGGAAAAAGGAATTTTCATGTCTGGTCTGCACTTTTTCCTTGTTTTCCCGTGTGTTGTTCTTGGGGACAGAGATGTTGCCCGAGTTTGCTCTTCCTCTGTACTTTAGGATACTCATCACTGGCATCACAATCTTCTGCTGAGGCTTCTGCTTTATGGTTTCTTGTTATTCTTATATTTTTTGCATACGATTCTGGTTCTGTTTCTGCTTTTTCTTCAGATTTTCTTCTCTCTTTTCTGCACATATAATTGTTTGTTTATGCTGCAAGATTGTTGCTTGCGAAAGGCTTTATCCGAACCAACTACCAAGCTTTTTGCCCAAGTGTCTTTCTCATCTGGGTCAGCAATTTCTCTTTGCAGGATTAGTTGAATACCGAAAAGGTGCAAAATTGGAACCAGGAAGATGAAGTACGTGCTTGTAACGGGAGGTGTTGTGAGTGGATTGGGCAAAGGAGTGACGGCAAGCAGTATCGGAGTTCTTCTTAAGGCTTGTGGACTTCGTGTTACTTCAATCAAAATTGGTATCTTGTTATTTGTTAACGGTCTTTGTTTACTGTTTGCTTAAGAGGCACTCAATCTCCTCCGCTGAATGAACTTCCAGATCCTTATCTGAACACTGATGCTGGAACCATGTCCCCGTTCGAGCACGGTGAAGTCTTTGTCTTGGACGATGGTGGTGAGGTACAGAGAAATCTGAATTTTTGTTCTACTGTCTTGTCTTCCTTCACGGGATATGTCCGGTTCGAAAGACTCTTAACTTAAATCTTGATGCGTTTGTAAGGCGGATCTTGATCTCGGAAACTACGAGAGGTTTCTAGATATCAAATTAACCCGAGATAACAATATCACCACCGGGAAGATTTACCGGGCAAGTGTTTTTCCATTTCTTTTGAATGCTTTTAGTTCTCTTTCTGCACCAGCTCTCACTAAATCTCACACTTCTTTGTTGTTGTCACAGTATGTTATCGATAAAGAGAGGAAAGGAGATTATTTGGGGAAGACGGTTCAGGTAGGAAGAAGTGTCATTATCTTCTGTCTTTTTTCATATCTTGTTGCCGAGTCAGTGTGAGATAAGCTCTGAGACTGGTGATTGTCTCTGGTCTTGGCTTATACTAACAATTTGGTTGCAATAATAAGGTTGTTCCTCACATCACCGACGCGATTCAAGAATGGATAGAGAGGGTTGCAAAGATACCTGTGGATGGAGAGGAAGGTCCTGCTGATGTTTGTGTCATTGAATTGGGCGGAACTATAGGTACACAAGCAAGTGAAAACAACAACAACAATATCGATGTTCAAAGTCTTTGTTTTTTTTTTCCATCTATCTCGTTATCGAGGAGTATTGTGTTTGCAGGAGATATTGAGTCCATGCCCTTTATAGAGGCCCTTGGCCAATTCTCGTATCGTGTGGGTAAGAATAATTTGCCGTTGGAGGACACTAAACATGGCCTTTATAGAGGGAGCTCCTCCTTTTTCAGGACATGCAACTAATTTGTTTGTGGTTTAATAACTTCAGGCCCTGGAAACTTTTGCTTGGTCCATGTCAGTCTCGTGCCTGTGCTAAATGTTGTCGGTGAGCAGGTAGGTACATTTCATGAAAATGGAGTTGCCCCTCATGCTATTGGTTTTAAGTTTTAACTTAGCTAAATCCTCCATTTCATTGTTTCAGAAAACAAAACCGACTCAGCATAGTGTTCGAGGGCTACGTGGATTGGGTTTGACACCAAATATCTTGGCTTGTCGGAGCACCAAGGTTCTCTCTTTCGACCTCTTTCTCTCTCTCGACTTCATCCATTTCATCAGAAATCCAAGATCTTCTGATACCAAACCAATCTTTCTTTTCCATTAGGCACTCGAGGAGAATGTGAAAGCCAAGCTATCTCAGTTCTGCCATGTTCCAGTAATGACACTAAAAGATTCTTTTTTGTCCCCCTTGTTATTGTGTTAAATCTTGTTTACTTATAGCTGTACTTTTGTTTCAGACTCAGAATATCGTCACCCTCTATGATGTCTCCAACATTTGGCATATTCCGTTGTTGCTAAAGGTACCATTGGATGTTTTGTCATATCCCTTTCGTCTTACAACTTATTACAATCATCACATCAAATCATTTCCCCATAAACCAGGAACAGAAGGCTCACGAGGCTATCTCAAAAGTGCTTAACCTTGACGGGTATGCATTTTTAAGCTTTTTTGGTTTTCGGAATTGGTAACGTAATGATTTTACTATATAAATGGTCCCGAAATGATATCTGTTTATCTGAAACAGTATTGCTAAAGAACCTTCTTTGGAGGAATGGACTGCCAGAGCTAATCTATGTGACAATTTACATGTGCCGGTGGGTCTTAACTCTTAACTCGCAATAAAAAACACGTTCAATCCATAATCTCGATGTCTTTTTTCCTTAGATAGTCCTTTTCTGTGCTTACAATTTATAGGTGAGAATTGCTATCGTGGGGAAATATACAGGGCTCCCCGATGCATATCTATCTGTCTTGAAGGTAAAAAAAACTTGCATGTCGTTTGCTCTTTCGTTCTGTCCTAATGTTTTAGCCGAGATTTCATGGCTCGTTTCCTGTACTGTGGCTTATATTGCATGGTTGAGTTTTCGTGTCAATGAATTTCATTTCATGGCCTGGCTCATGCTTGGTTAATTTTTTAACGTTGGGCAGGCTCTCTTGCATGCTTCTGTTGCTCGTCGAAAAAAGCTCATAGTTGATTGGGTTCCAGCTTGTGATCTCGAAAAACCCTCCGAAAAAGAGGTCTTTAGCTGATGCAATTACATATAATTTACGCATTCAATTTCCTGTTACCTGAATCTGAAAAAGAAAATCGACATATTTCGCAGAATCCAGTTGCATACAAAGCTGCATGGAAGTTACTTAAGGTTTGTAACTTTCGCCATTTTGTTGGTATAGTCTTCAGAAGAGGAGGCCTCAAAGAAACGTGGTTCTTCCATTAGTTGCCATGATTTATCCCGAGTATTCTTCTGCAGGGTGCAGATGGAATTCTTGTCCCGGGAGGGTTTGGTGATAGGGGAGTGGAAGGGAAGATTCTTGCAGCAAAATATGCCCGAGAAAACAGAATCCCGTTCCTCGGTATCTGTCTTGGCATGCAGATCGCTGTCATCGAGTTTGCACGGTCAGTTCTCGGCTTGCACGATGCTAACAGCGCAGAATTTGTTCCCGACACCAAAAATCCATGCATCGTATTCATGCCCGAGGTTCGTTGACTCCTACCGTTCTTTACTCAATAATTTCCCCATACGAAACTTTTTCCTGAGTTCCATTCTTGACAACTTGAGTAGGGCTCGAGAACTCATATGGGAGGAACCATGCGTCTTGGATCGAGAAGAACCTTTTTCCATGTAAAGGACAGCAAATCTGCAAAACTGTAAGAAACCTTTGAGCAGATTCACTTGGTGTTCTTCCTGTTCATCTCATTGTACTTAAAGATTACATCTTTCGGTTCTTATAGATATGGAAGCAAGAGCTTTGTTGATGAGAGACATCGCCATAGATACGAGGTAATGGAGTTGGATCCAAATTCTTCAACATCTGATTACACGGATCATCATTCGTTATTCTCGCTTGGATAATGACAGTAACTTTGCTTCTTGCAGGTGAATCCCGATATGGTTGGATGCCTAGAGATGGCCGGACTCTCTTTCACCGGAAAAGATGAGACCGGCAAACGCATGGAGGTCATTGAAATTCCTTCTCACCCTTTCTTCGTTGGTGCTCAGTTCCACCCCGAGTACAAATCCAGACCCGGGAAAGCTTCTCCGTTGTTCTTAGGTCGGAACCCACGAGAAAAAAACTCCAAACTTTATCATCTAAAATGATCTGAAACAATACCGAAAATCTTCTGACAATCTCTGCATTTCCATATTCAGGATTAATTGCAGCATCGTGTGGAGAGCTAGATGAGCTTCTGCAATCAGGCTCTGTCCACAACCATCACCAGAGTTTGGCCGGAAACCGACCACTGGTGGATCCTAAAAGTGTTGTTTATTACAATGGAGCCGCCAAGAAACCTCCAAACGTGTTGGCCGGCGTAAGATACAACAACGGCGGCTACTGCAATGGCCTCTACACCAACAGATATACCCATGAATGAGAATCTCCTTTTCTTTGCTTAGATCACCGAATTCGTTTAGACTCTATCCGGTTACTGGTCGGAATTATGAGGTTTGGTCTTTTTTACGTAGGATTTTCTCTGTACAGTTTGGTTCAAGATTTGTCGGATTCAGAAACGATCTGAAATCTCTGTTGATTCCCGGGTTTTTTTTAATCAAAAGGGATATCATATGATCGTATGTATTGTCGACCGGGTTGTATTGATGGCCCTCTATGGTAAAAAAAAGCTTGAAGCTTGCCTTAATTTTCAATCTTTTATGCATTTCATTCTTGAAAAGAAATCATTTTTCTGAGCTATTTCTAAGTTTTTTTTTACATATTATCATTGGCCGGAATAGATTTATGAATATCCGGTTTCCCGAACCGGTCGGGTGAATCCAACCCGGGTTAAATTCACATTTAGGCCTTATTAAAAACAGCACACCGTTTGTTGTATATCAAACTAAACAGCGTGTTGTTTGAAGTTAAACGAAACGTCACGTTGTTTTTATCTACTGGCAGGACTCCCAGTCTCACGATAGGGCTTTACTGAAGCCTGAAGGTGCAAGATATTTTCCTGACCAGTTGCTGAAACTCAGTAGCTCGGAGATGCTCGACAATGGCGGTGATAATCACGACGAATGCCTATTTGAACGTCTCTTCCCTGGACGAACGCGGGGATTTTAACCGGAAATCGTTGTTTCTTCATGCCTATTCAAATTATCGGCGAGTCGTTCATCTTAACTCGAAGAGATCGAGGACTAAGGTAATTCTCTGTTTGAATATGAACACGAAGGAGCCATCTTCCGGAGATGGAGTTCTCTCAAGGGAATTTGAATTCAAGCCCAGTTTTGATCAGTACTTGCAAATGATGGAATCGGTTAAATCCGAACGGAGTAGAAAGAAATTCGACAGATTGCTCAAAGATAAAGTTGACGATAACGATGGTGGTGATAGAGTTAGTGCTGATTCTCAGGCACACAATGGCTCTTCTTCGAGAAACTTAGAGTTAGACAGAGATGTAAAAAGAGTAGAATCGGATAGGATAGGTGAACTTTCAGTTGCTGTGTCGAAAGATGAGAGTCTTAGAAGAAGAAAGGTCGTAGTTGATAATCGTTCCTCTGATACATCAAAAAGGAAAGGGAGAAGCTCTAAGAACGAGGAATTGGGTCTTGCGGTTGTGAAGAGTGAAAGCCAAAATCAAAGAATAGCCAGCAAGAGAAATGATTTTGGAGGCGGCAAGTTAACTAGAAGCAGTAGACGGGTTGCCACAAGAGATGATGATAGCGAGGTTCACATGGAAATTCCTGCGTTTAAGTTTTCCGACGAGTCTAGTGAGGTCGTGGACAAGCCACCCGCTTCACGGATGGAAATGGATGATAGAATCGAAAAGTTAGCAAAAGGGTATGTGTTTTACGAAGATCTTGATTTGATTTTTGTTTAAACTTGTTAAATTATCTCGAGAACAGGCTAAGTTGTAGCTCTAGGAGCGTAGATATCAGGTTTTCTGATAATGTAGTATAGCAGATGAAGCGGGGCATTGAATTCGTTCAGATTACATGAAAAGGTTATTTTAGATTTTGGTCTTTGTTAAGGAGTTTATTTCGCTAGGTTGAATGGTGCAGACATCAACCTGCCCGAGTGGCTGTTCTCCAAGGCGATGAGGAGTGCAAGAATCAGATATTCAGATCACACTATCACGAGACTGATCCAGATTCTAGGTAAACTTGGAAACTGGAGACGGGTTCTTCAAGTCATCGAGTGGCTTCAGAGGCAAGAGCGCTTCAAATCCAACAAGCTAAGGTGACTCTTTTTTATCGGTTATTCTAAACAAATTGTGGAGACATTGCAGTAACACTTGTCTCAGTTCTATCAAGAATAAAGGAATGATCTTTTTTTTTTCATTTTGAAAAAGATCTCTGTAATCATTTTGAAAGTCGTAGAAAGCATTTCTTTTAGGAGGAAAAGAAAGAATTGCTCCCTGGTTTCGGAAATGTTTAAGAACGGTGTCATGACAAGATTTTATTACTGTGGTCTAGAATCGTTTATACAACTGCGCTTTCTGTGCTTGGAAAATCAAGGAGGCCCGTGGAAGCGCTTAATGTATTCCATGCAATGCAGGTAAACCCGGTTTCATGCATGTAATTGTTTCCCTTTTTATGAGAAGTATAGTACTCTGTTACGATCCAGGGGCAGGAAAGGGTTCTTTAGCCAGCTGCTTGAAAAATTTAGATAAATTTCCTGTTTTTTTGTAACCAGCAACAAATGTCGTCATATCCGGACATGGTAGCTTATCGTTCCATCGCGGTCACACTTGGACAAGCTGGGCATATTAAGGAACTCTTTGATGTGATCGATACAATGCGATCTCCACCTAAGAAGAAGTTCAGGACACTACTCGGAAAGTGGGATCCACGGCTAGAACCGGATGTTGTTGTTTACAATGCGGTCCGTTATATAGATTATATTCATTTCAAGAATACATCATCTGCATCTCGTAATAATATCATTCATGATGTGATCTATACAGTTTAATACTGGTGCGGGTCTATCCTTCCGTGCAGGTTCTGAATGCATGCGTGCAAAGGAAACAATGGGAAGGAGCATTTTGGGTTTTGCAGCAGTTAAGGCAACAAGGCCAAAAGCCTTCTGCTGCCACCTATGGCCTTGTCATGGAGGTAATGATTAGTTTCCGGCTTGAGGCCTCTTTTATAATTGCGAGCTGAGTGGTGAATTTGGATCCGAGCAGGTGATGTTTTCATGTGGAAAGTACAATTTGGTTCATGAGTTCTTCAGGAAGATACAGAAATCTTCGATACCAAATGCCCTTGCGTATAGAGGTATCTTGAAAAAGAACTGTTGCTCTGTTCTTGAAATGATATCGTTCAATTGTCTCTGAGAGTGTTACCATATATCTCTGTAAACAGTTCTTGTAAATACCCTTTGGAAGGAAGGGAAAACCAATGAGGCTGAACAGGCAGTCGAAGAGATGGAACGTCGGGGTATTGTCGGATCCGCTGCTCTTTACTACGACCTCGCTCGCTGTCTCTGTAGTGCAGGAAGATGCGATGAAGGGCTTAAGCTGGTAATTTTTGTATACCTTTTGAATCTATATCTATATCTTATCAAGAATCTATGCGTTTTTCGAGATAAACCACCAGCTCTAATTCTCTCTGATCCATACTCACAGATCAAGAAGATATGCCGAGTAGCGAATAAGCCACTCGTGGTGACGTACACTGGCTTGATCCAAGCATGTCTCGACTCGGGAAACGTTCAGAGCGCATCCTATATCTTCAACCGAATGGAGGAGGTTTGTTCTCCGAACCTGGTTTGTTGCAACATAATGGTGAAAGCCTACTTACAACACGGGGTTTTCGAAGAAGCTAGAGAACTCTTCCAGAAAATGTCGGAAGACGGACAGCGTATAGAGACCAGATCAGATTACAAGTCCAGAGTATTACCGGACACGTACACATTCAACACGATGCTAGATTCTTGCGCTGAAGAACGGAAATGGGATGATTTCGAGTACGTTTACACACAGATGTTGCGTCAAGGGTACCATTTCAACGCAAAGCGTCATCTTCGGATGGTTCTTGAAGCAACCAGAGCCGGAAAGGTAAATACCGAAAAGCCCATTAGGGTTTTTTTCTTCTTCTGCAGTTTTATGTTCATCAGATAAACTCAGTGCCTTGTCTGAAAATTTCAGGAAGAGGTGTTGGAAACGACATGGAATCACTTGAGGCGAGGCAATTGGATTCCACCGACCCCTCTGATCAAAGAGAGATTCTGCAAGAAACTCGAGAAGGGCGATCTCGTTTCGGCGATATCTTCAGTTGCAGATATCGAAAACGAGGTCGGAGAGATCGAGTTGCGTTCATTTTCGAAGAATGCGTGGTTGAAGCTGTTGAAAGCGAATGAGTCCAGGTTTGGTAAAGATTCAGTCTTGAGGTTAATGGAGGATGTGAAGAAGCTTGTTGCCCGGAGAAGTGAGTCTTCTGGTTCGGTTTTGGAGAGCTTGTTGAGTTCTTGTAAAGAGTTCTTGACGAACAGAACATAACCTAAAGGGACCGTGTTTTGTCTGTATGAAGGAGAAACTATATATATTACTAATTATAATCCTAATGGGCATTAAAATATGGATTAATTAACATTTTCTTAGTGTCAACATATAGTCTAATCGTTATATATACATGTATATTATATATATATATATATATATATATATATAGAGAGAGAGAGAGAGAGAGAGAGATTCCATAGGGAATAAACAAAAATTAGACAAATTGGAATGTGGATGGTGAGCATGTTAGAACAGATGGGCAAATTTCAATCATCATCAGCTGCACCATGCAACGACACCTACTACACTACTAGAAAGTAGAAACCAGTTCTTTTTTTTATATATATATATATAAGCATTTAGTTTTAGTATAATCTATAAAATATTTTATTTTAAATAAATATTTTCATTTTGAACTGTAACCATTGGACACACTATAATAACGTCTTGTTGATTTTATAATGCCGATTTTATGGATTCTGTATAGATTTGGATTCTTCGAGATGATTAAGAAAAAAATGGGATATAATGATTAAATTTCAAACCAATTAATCTTATTTTTATGCAAGTGGATTAGTGTTCATATTTGATATTTCGTTACAGGAGTTTGGCATCCTTCAAGCCATCTAGTTTATACGTTTAAACTTATAATAAAAAATAGAAATGTAATAATGCGATATTAACCGTACACTTTAAGGTGATTTTTTGAACACAAATAAATGTATTTCATTTAATTTATATACAATAATAAATTATAAACGAATATCAGTTGACAAAAACGACGATTGTAAGATTCATATGTGATTGTAAATTCAATATCACTAAATTGTTATTCGTGTTTTATTAAAATGTTATTTTTTTTAATAATAAATTATTTTATATACGTTTTTTAAAAAATGATTTGACGTAAAAATCATATATACATATTATATTTTTAAAATTAAATTAAATGAAAAATTTGGAGAAAAATCAAATATTAAAAAAAAAAACGGAAAACAGGTATAGTCTATGGTAGGGTTGGGCATTTCGGTTCGGTTTTTTGGAACCGGACCGAACCGAACCGTTAAAACGGTATTTTTTTTGATCCGAAATCGTTGTTATTTTCCGAACGGTACTATTTTTAGAGAACCGAATTTTTTCGAAATCGAACCGAACCGAACCGAATTTTAAAAATTCCGAAAAACCGAATATTTTTAAAGGAAATCTATCATTTTTTAATAAAATCCGGAACCGAACCGAATCGAACCGATACCGAAACCGAACCGAACCGAATATAATAAAAAACTTGATTGATACCTATTTTTATAAAACCGAAAGGACCGAACCGATCTATTCTATCCCAAATCTAAACCGTTTTCCGAAACGTCCACCTTCTAGTCTATGGATTTGATGAACGGGGAGTTAACCGACAGAAGAGGGGGAGGCGGGAACAGAGCATTGATGAGGTTCGCACTGTACGATGTCGTTTCAGAGATTTAAAGACCACAACGCTTACGTGTTCTCTCCTCATGGGTTTCTTCACTTTACTGGGCCCCACTCTCTTTTTCCGTTTCCATTTTTTTTGGCCTTTTCACTCTTTAAGCTATAAATTCCCTCTTGACATTTAAATTAAAAATTGGATTTGAGGAGGAGTGTAATAATAGCATAAATATACAAACTTTTTCGAATTTTTATTTCGAAATGCGTCTCATAAAATTATCGATGCTTACGCAGTTATTACATCATAAAATCTTCTGATTTTTATTAAATATATATCCGGTAATGCTTGTATTCTAATTTTTTATCAACTGACTGTAATAATCTATTTATTCTATTTTCGATGAATATTTTCGTATACTTTTCTTGATTTCTATCTTATAGTTTTTATCGCTTGATTTTTTTTTTCATTTCAGATTTACAAAAAATATTGTGCATTTTTTCTGTCCCATTTAATTGGATTTTTGATCCAGAGTAAATGTACGAACATGTTAGGTCAAATTTAACCAAAAAAAAAAGTTGTACTTTGTGATATGATTTTATATTATCTTTCCAAAGAATCTATCACCATGTTGCTTAGATTTACCATATATTATCGACCAAAAAACTTGAATGTATTTTACATGAACTTTAGAATATAAAATTGTTTGTAAATTCGTTTTACATTTTTTTTTGAAGTTTTATTGTATTATATGTTACAAAATTGAAAATAAACACAAAGGATTCATTAAGGCTGCATACGGATAACATAAATGATCATAGAAATATGTTTCAAATCCCAATTGTTCGCGTGGCTTATGTTTTTTCTTAATTATTTTGAAATAATAACGCGAAAGTGATATTGTCGTCGTCGGTCCGTATTTGATTTTTCTTGAGAATAAAGCGGGTCCCACTTCACGAATTAGCCGACATGTCAGCACGTCGTAAGTCGCGACGCACTGCGGTCGGGGCTCCGCGTTGCATTCTCATTGGTTATTCTTGCGTGACAAAAAAAAAAGTTATTTAAATAAATTATTACATAAAGAAGGAGTATATGTAAAATTATATATATATATATATATACATATATTGGCGTAAAAAAGGAATACACACATATATACAAGGACCATTTTGTATTATTTTACATAGAAAAATTGTCAGTTTGGACTAATGAAGTAATTTTTTTGGAAGTTTTAAAATATATATATATATATATATAATACACATATATATATATATATATATATATTAAATGTGTGATACACAAATTCACATAAAATAATGAAATTAAGTTAATCATAGAAATGGTCCATCATTGTTCATATCAAAAGAATTTAAAGGAAAAGCTGCCAAATAGTAGAAATATATTATGATTTCAAATTCCTCTCTAAAAAAAAATACAAGAAACATTTCTTCCACATCTAAAACGAGAAATTTCCGCCGCCTCTCTCTCTCTCTCTCTCGCCATCACTGTAACGCGCCTACGAGACCGGACCATTCTTCACTCCTCTCCCCTTTTCTCATCGTACGTTTCTTTCTTTCTTCTTTTTCACATTCTCTTTCTGACTCTCATCCTTCCACTTATAAAAGTGAAAAATTGAATCTTTTCCCAATACAGAACGAGAAAATTCGACCCCTTTTTCTCTCTCATGTTTTCGATCATCTTGGGTTTCCCTCGAATTCTGGTGGGTCGTCTCGTTTCTCTCCTGATTTCAGTTTCTTCTCCGTAGAGAGAGAGAGAGAGACCCGTTAAGAAGAAAGAACATAAAGGAGGTTTTCTCGTGCTCTTGGGTTTTGCAGTTCACGTGAGCCACCATTAATGCCATTTTGTTTTCTTCTTCAGGTACTCTTTTTTGCTTGATTGGTCACTGCGTTTTTTTCCCTCTCTGTGAAAACGGCTCCATTTTTTTCGTTTCTTCTTCCGTTTTGAGCTCCCATTCTCTCTCCTAGGGTTTTCCTTTCTGTTTCCTGGACTTGGTGGGATTCGGATCTTGCGTGCTGAATTTCGATTTTGTTTTGGTGAAACATTTCTGGGTTCGTCTGACTATTTTTTTTCTCTCTCTAATTATCCTGCATTGTCAGTTTTTCTCTGGTACCAACATGCTCCGACAAAAGTATCACAATCTGGCGTTTAAAAAAAAATTATTTACCAGATGTTTTCATTCGAAATAGTTTTCCGGGAATTTCGAATCTTTTGATTTCGTATGTGATTTTCTTCCGCTGGATCCTAGAATCGGTTATAAGCGCGTAAAATTTTCCTTGGTTTTCCCTCTGTTTCTCGGGAAAATGTTCATCGTGGTTTTCATTTGAGTAACATCATCAGGTGGCAGGTGCAAATGTTCATCAATGTCCTTCACAATTCCTGCCTCCTTTTCTGCTTGCTGATTCTCTCTCTCTCTCTTTTCTGAAACTATTCACAGGTCCCACTAGTAAATTCGCAGTTATTTTCAAGAATTTTCACTGTCTAACTTCTGCTACTGAGGGTTTTTTTATGCAGATCATTTCATCAGATAATGTTCCACAGTTTTCGGGATTTTAATCTTTGTTTATATGTTTTGCAGCTAAATTAGAGCCTCTGGTAGTCGAGTATTGGGGATTTTTCCCGCAAGTAGAAGTGATTAGCTATGTTGAATTTTGCTAGAGCAAGAAGCCAAGGGAGGCATAACAGATCTATGTCTCTTGGAGGTGAGATACTTCTCGAATCTTGCAACAGAGGATTGGAGTTTTGAACTGTTATTTAGTTACTTCAAAGTTGAAAGTGTTGTGGTTTTGAGAGATTAGATTGAAACGTTTTCTGATCGTCTCAATGTAATGGTATGTGTGTCAGCTTCTGGGTTTGGTTGATAGAATCTTGAATCTTTCTGGGTTTTGGTAGTTTCATCAAAAGTTTGAAGCTTTTGTTGTTTTCACCACTGGTTAATCTAATTTGGATGCCTAAATTCACAGATCTTGGTGATTTTGGGACTGTAGGACTTGATTATGCAGACCCAAAGAGGAAAAACAATTACTTGGGGAAGGTTCTTTTGGCTGCTTCCCTTACAGCCCTTTGCATTTTCATGCTCAAACAATCCCCCTCATTCAATACCCCAAGTGTGGTAATTAGTCTGTGAAAGACCTTTCTTTTTTTAAATGTTGAAACGTTTTCTTGAATCATTATGAGGATGAGTTTCTGATGATTTCCTTCATTTCTTTGTTTTGTGCATATCCAGTTTTCCCGGCATGAACTTGGGGTTACCCATGTGTTAGTCACTGGTGGTGCTGGTTATATCGGCTCTCATGCAGCTTTACGGCTTCTGAAGGATTCGTATCGTGTGACCATTGTGGTATGGTCTCTGCCTTGCATTGATATGTTAAGTTCCTTGTTTTGTCTAAGTGTATCAGCTTTCTTGTTTTGCTAGTGTTGTAGTAAAGGAACATCTCTCTCTGTTTTTTTCCCTGACAGGACAATCTTTCGCGTGGAAATATTGGTGCTGTCAAGATTTTGCAAGAGTTGTTTCCTGAACCTGGAAGGCTTCAGTTTATTTATGCCGATCTTGGAGATGCTAAGGCCGTATCCTTCTCACCACAATAGTTTGATGCAGTTTTAAGTGTAGGAATGAATTTTGTGAGGACTGATGAAGCAAAAAACTAGATTGTTTCCTTAACGAAAATTTCAGGTGAACAAAATATTTTCAGAGAATGCATTTGATGCAGTGATGCATTTTGCTGCAGTTGCTTATGTTGGGGAAAGCACTCAAGATCCTCTCAAGTGATTATCGGTTTCCTCTTTGCTATCTTTAATTTCTTCTGTTATCCTGAGTGGCTGAGAAGAAAAATTATATTTTGCGGTAGCCGGTAGGATTTTGTGAACCGATTGGTAATGAATCTGTTTTTTTTGGTATTATGGTATCGTTGCAGGTATTATCACAATATTACATCAAATACATTAGTGGTATTAGAGGCGATGGCTTCTCATCGTGTCAAGACTCTAATATATTCAAGCACATGTGCCACTTACGGGGAGCCTGAAAAGATGCCAATTACAGAAGATACTCTTCAGGTGAGAGCAGGAAATTCTCCGCACAATTCGCTGATCTTGATATAATCTTGAAAATGTAGGCTAAAAACCGTATAAGCGCACTATTTTCAGGTACCGATCAATCCATATGGAAAGGCTAAGAAGATGGCAGAAGATATAATCTTGGATTTCTCTAAGAATTTGGACATGGCAGTTATGATCCTAAGGTTTGGCAGTCTTGTTTTATTATCTGCCATTTTCCTCCATCTACTTGTTTAATTGCACTGTGTTCTTCTTTCCCTGGAGTTTGAAGAGGTTCCTTCTTTATCCAATGCCAGATATTTCAACGTGATCGGATCTGATCCAGAGGGCAGACTGGGTGAAGCCCCGAGGCCTGAGTTACGAGAGCATGGACGGATATCCGGTGCTTGCTTTGACGCTGCACGAGGCATCATCCCGGGCCTGCAGGTACTTAGCCTCATTATCTCGTAAATCTTGCCAGCCCCTCAGATAGAGATGCACATACTTTTTCGGTCTCAGATGAATATATTGCATACATTTATCTTCACCGGTATGATTATAGCATCAATGTCTCTGATTATTTTTTTAAAAGTTCACGTTTTTCTGGGAACTGGCACTTGCTGTATAACATGATCGTCCAGCTCAAAGTGTTCTGCAAAAGTGGATGTTAGTTTTACAGCTGAGCAATGCCATGGACTGGACACATTGTTGAGTTTTTTCTTACATGTTAAAATAACAGATACCTGCCTCTTACATCACATGCTAAAAAGACCAGGACAGAACTTATGCAGGAGTTGTTCGTTGATGGCTTATCTGATTAATAATGTGCAGGTTAAAGGAACAGACTACAAAACCAGTGATGGAACTTGCGTTCGGGATTACATTGATGTCACTGACTTGGTCGATGCCCATGTTAAGGCTCTTGAAAAGGCAAAACCCCATAAAGTCGGAATCTTTAACGTCGGGACAGGAAAGGGTATATGAATCTTTGCCAAAACTCATGATGATGGGTTTTATGTGAATAGGCGAAAGATCCTTACATGCACTTGTGATGTTGTGGAGCAGGTAGTTCGGTGAAGGAGTTTGTGGAGGCGTGCAAGAAGGCAACAGGGGTCGATATCAAAGTGGACTACCTGCCCAGACGGCCGGGGGACTATGCGGAAGTTTACAGTGATCCGAGCAAGATCAGGAGGGAACTGAATTGGACAGCTCGGTTCACGAATCTCCAAGAGAGCTTGGAGGTTGCTTGGAGATGGCAGAAGCTGCACCGCCATGGCTACGGACCATCATCCTCTTCCTCTGTCTCAGCTTACTGACCCATTTGGTTTTGATAGTGATGGAGAGAAACTCATTTTACAGGTAGATGGTTTGATTTTTGGGATCTGAGATGGGAATGAGACACGTGCGTGTGAGTTTTGCTTGATTGCTATCATTGATATATTCATTTGTAATGGCTATAGAGGTGGCTTTTAGGAAGCAGCCATTCATTATATATATATATATATATATATGTAATGGAACTGATAGTTATATATACATTCTAAATAACACAGCTTCTCCGGCTCTGCTCGGTTTGTTCTTAAATGAAAAAGGAGAGAGATTCCATTGTTGTGCAAATATTGAGTAAACCAACCGAAGAAGGTATAAATTACCTTTTAGCCCCATGCTTTAGAATACTCTGTTCAGAACCCCAAACATTTAAAATTACACTTTGACATCCCCCCCCCCCCCTTTGTTCTAATTTGAGCCTAATGGACAGTTATGCAGATCCGACCCAATAGCTTAGTGGGCCTAACTGTGCCCTCAACGAACGGCTATACAATCTTTCTTTCGTGGGACCAGCTTACTGACACGTGTCAGTTTCGTTTCCTCTAGTAGAGATACACCGGTTACCGTTACCGTTAACATGAACAGTTAACGACAAACATGCTCACAACTAAAGTAAGGTGGAAAATTTGACTGACAACATAGACTTTTATTTATCAACAAAGAAATTTAAAAATATCCGTAGTCTGTCGCGCCGAACATCTGAGAGATCCACGTGGCAAGATCCCATAGGCTGCATTGAAGGGAACAAGACAAAGATCAGCAGGGACATGGGCCCCAAAGAGGATCCATGCGTGAGAAATGCCAGGCTGGCACTCGTAGATCCAACGGCTATTACTTGCTGGTGGAGCCAACACATGTGACCGTTGCTATTGTGGGGACCCCTTCGGCCCTTCCCCTAGGGTTCTTCATAAACTCCATTTTTGCTACTCTCGTCTTCACAATTTTTTCTCTGCAGCCAAACGCAGAACGACAAGAAGAAGAAGAAGAGAGGCGAGGTCTTCCAGAGTTCCAGGTGGGTTTTATTCTCCCTTTTCTCTCATTTTCTCGCATTTTCTGTCGTTTTCTCTCAAAAAAAAAAAAGAATTCGGCCGCTATGAATACCCATCGACCGTGTTCCTTGATAGCTCAAGTATAGCACATCTAGTTGTCGATATGGGAATCTCATTTTCTCTCGTTTTCTCGCGTTTTCTTTTGCTTTCTCCGGGGTTTGCTGACTACTGTCAACCGTGTTCCCCTAACTAGTCCTCAAAGATGCGAATCTGTTCTTAGATAGTTAGCATTCAGAATCAAAGGTGTCGGGTAAACTTGACTACCCATAGATCTTTCCTGGTTTTTTTCTCGGATTTTCTGTCGTTTTCTCAGATAAATAATCTGCGAAAGATGGTCTTTTTAAATGTTGATAGACTTCTAGCACCCAACTTAGGGTTCACGAAAACAGCTGGTCATAGCTGTACAGAGTTATAACGTAATTCACTTCTCCAGAAAAAAGACAGAAACTTAGTTTGATTTTCTCTAGTTTTTCTTGCCATTCTCAAGCGTTGAAGCTTTGTCATGATCTGTGACAGGTCAAGAAGCCATGACAGCAGAAGTTAAGGTTGAGGAGAAACAGGTTGAGACCGAGGTTGTCGTTGCTTCTCAGGAAGAGACAGTGAAGGTTGTTGAAAAAGCAGTGGAAGATGTCAAGGAGACCGTTGAAACAGATGCCGTTCAAGAAGAGACCAAGCCTGAAGCCATGGAGAAGAGCGATTTCTTCAAGGAAGAGAGCAACTTCTTATCTGATTTGGATGAATCTGGGAGAAAGGCTCTGAGCGATCTCAAATCAAAGCTTGAGGAAGCCATCGTTGGAAATACTCTCTTCAAGAAGAAGAAGGAGAGCCCCGTGAAGGAAGAAGCGAATAAAGAAGCCGAGGAAGAGACGAAACCAGAGGAAAAGGTTGAAGAAGAGAAGAAAACTGAGGAGAAAGCCGAGGAAGAGAAGAAGGCTGAGACTGAAGCTGTTGTTACAGAGGAAACTCCCAAAGAAGAAGCGAAAGCTGTGACCGAAGACGAGAAGAAGATCGAGGATGTTGTTACTGAGGAAACCCTTAAAGAAGAAGTGAAAGCTAAGCCTGAGGATGAATTCCCTAAAGAAGAAGTGAAAGCTGAGGTCGAGGAAGAGAAGAAGAAGGTCGAGGAAGAAGAAGAAGAGAACGTCGATCAGGACATCTCTCTATGGGGAGCGCCTTTACTGCCAAGCAAAGGAGCGGAAGCCACCGACGTTATTCTCATGAAATTCTTGAGGGCAAGAGACTTCAAGGTGAATGAAGCCTTTGAGATGTTGAAGAAGACCCTCCTATGGAGGAAAAAACACAACATCGACTCGATCCTACAGGAAGATTTCGGCGAAGAACTCAACTCTGCAGCCGCATACATGAACGGAGCAGATCGTGAAGGTCACCCCGTGTGTTACAACGTCTACGGCGTGTTTAACAATGAGGAGCTTTACCAGAAAACGTTCGGGACGGAGGAGAACAGAGAGAAGTTCCTGAGATGGAGGTTTCAGCTGATGGAGAAGGGAATTCAGAAGCTTGATCTGAAACCCGGCGGCGTTACTTCTCTGCTTCAGATCCACGATCTTAAGAACTCTCCCGGATTGACGAGGAAAGAACTCCGGGTCGCGATTAAGCATGCGGTTGAAGCTTTGCAGGACAATTACCCTGAATTCGTCTCAAGAAACGTAAACTTCTTTACCCTTTTCTTCTCTCAGACTGTTGAAGAATCTTTTGATTTGGTCTTTGGAACTCGATGAAATCTTGACTGTTCTTTGAGTTTGGCAGATATTTATTAACGTGCCGTTCTGGTTCTACGCTCTGAATGCTCTGCTGTCGCCGTTCTTGACGCAACGAACCAGAAGCAAGTTTGTGGTCGCTCGCGCAGCGAAGGTCACCGAGACACTTCTCAGGTAAGTTCAATGGATCTGAATTCATTTGTTCACATTTGTACATTTTACAAATACAAGTCCTGAACTTTATAAAACCTCGATGCTTGTGATTGCAGGTACATCCCGGCCGAGGAGATTCCCGCTCAGTACGGTGGATTCAAAAGAGACGGCGATCTCGAATTCTCTGCTTCCACTGTTTGTGAAGCCATTGTCAAGCCTGGGTCATCTGAAACCATTGAGATCCCTGCTCCTGAGGTACTGAAAATGGAAATCCCCCTTTTATTACTGGGATTATTACCGATATAGTCATAAAAATCTAATCGCGTAATTAATCAGCAGATGATGATCTTTTGAAATGTTCATTGTTCTTGATTAAAGGAGATCTTGTTCTTGTTCATTCCCGACAAAGATCTAATGGGTTCTTTGTCCTAAAATCCTCTTTTTTTTTTTGGTATGGTTTTTTCACAGGTGGGAGATACACTGATTTGGGAAGTCACCGTTGTTGGATGGGAAGTGAACTACAAGGAAGAGTTCGTTCCTGGAGATGAAGGATCATACACTGTGATCGTCCAAAAGGGGAAGAAGATCGGATCAAACGAAGGGCCAATCCGCAATAGTTTCAGGAACAACGAGCTCGGCAAGATCGTTCTTACCGTCGACAATGTCTCCGGCAAGAAGAAGAGAGTTCTGTACCGGTACGTGACCAAGATCGGATCCTCTTTCTAAGCAAGAGTCTTCCAAAGGTAATCTTATATAGAGTTTGGATATATACATTTTTTTTTGGAGTGAGAGGGACCTTATTATTGTTTCATTCTTTTTTGCTTTGCGAGGGAAACTGTTTGTTTGTTTATTTATTACAAATAATGGCGAGATTCATGCTTTCTATTGTACTTGTGAATTTTTATACATATGATGATCATACATATATCATATTCTCTTTCGTCTGCTTGACATAATTGGAATATATTCTCTCCGCATCGGTAACCACGAATACCCGACCCGACCCGTATCCAGGAGCAAACTCGCAAAGAGAATGTATACATAACGTGAACCCCTTTCATCAAGGCTGGATCCAAGAAGCACCATACACTTTCCTCATTTCAGGACCAAACCAAACCCCGGAACGAATACATCCAAAATTTTGCTACGTTCATGCTCCACTAGTGTTTTCTCATCTGGCAACTAGGGGAGATGATGCTTGTAAGAACTCAGACGAGAAGGCCCTCTGTTCGTCGCTCAGTAACGATAACCATTTTGCAACGAGAGCAGCCGGACTCGAGATCCTCGGAGGATCTGCTAGCTTCGTGGTGGCGGCGGCGGCATTTTGGCCAATTTTCACGCAATCCGGTGGTAACAGTTTCAGGAGAGAACTCACGGTTGCTATCTGCACTGTGAAACCGGCTTTAAGGCTTCTTGTCTCACATTGCAAAAGTTCACTTAATTTGTCTCTCAAGCTTTCGATTCCTCCATCTTCATAGCCACCAGATTCAACCCCAATACTGGAAAATAAAACCCGGAACGAGCTGACTCAGTTTAACAAAGGAGAAAAAGAAACTAAACCGGTTTTCGAAGATTACAATAACTATAGATATATATATATATACACACCTGCCAAGTTGCCCGAGAAGCGAGACAATTGCAATAGAGAAGTCCATTTCTAGTGGCGTCTCCAACATCTTCAACAGCGGAGCAACAACATTGGCACTTGTCCAATCCCAAGCCTGCATTCAGATGTACAATAAATCGGTTTGGAGAGATATTAATAAACTTCGGGAAAGAACCAGGTTGCGAAGATTGCATTCAAGGGTTCAAGAAACACGGGCATATACTGATCCATATGCTAAAATGCTAAATTTGTGCATTTGATCTCTCCATGAAATGCACAAAATAATATGAAACTTACCATGTAACCCGCGACAAGTTCCACCAACGATAGAACGTCACAGAGTTGACACAATGCCCCGGTATCCATATTCTCTGATTGGTTCTTGTGTAAACAGCAAGATGCTTCACACCTTGCATCGAGTAGAAACGGGAAATCTTCAAGCATCGGACTGATTTTGGTCTTCTCCGCAATGGGAACGGGATCAGAAGCCGATGAACTGGTCAGACTCTGATGCATGGTTTTGGACTGAGCAAACTTCTGAAGAATTTCCAAGAGCAAAGATGCAACATCCTCCAGAGAGGAAGACTCGTCTGAGAATGGACACTCCTTACCGGGATGCAACTCTGCCTCGCTCTCCTTAGTATGTAAATAACTGTCTTCTAGAAACTTGATGATCGATTTCAACACGGTAATTGGCAAATTATGCTCCCTCGAGGACAACAGTTTCTCTCCAGCAACATATACGAAGACATGTAGAATAGTCAGTAGCACAGAGGTATTTTTCTCGTGACTTTTCTTATAGAGGATTTCAAAAGAAGCCTCGCAAATAAACCCCACACCATTGACTGAAGCACAGATTGCTGCAAAAATAGCAGAGCTAGTAACCAGACAATCAATTGGAGCAACCCTTTTATGGAATGCTACATTTTCTCCATCCAAGCAGACATTGATACTTGATTCAGATGTATCTGAGGATGTAACGGAACACAATACCCTCTGTTCACAGAGGAAGTCCTGAAGGAGGCCAAGGAGCTCGTCCAATATCTCTGAAAGCATAGCTCTGCTATCCGCATCAGCAATAACTGCAGAAGAAAATGCCAAGATCAATAAACATAAAATATCAAATTGAGATTAATACCTATATCAAAAGAAAGAGAGAGAGAGAGAGAGAGAGAGAGAGAGAGAGAGAGAGAGAGAGGAGCAGCAGACCTCCATATATACGCCTTGAGAAAGAATCCAAGCAGGACAAAGTATCGATATTCAGTGTGTTCCCAATTTTCATTGAAGCGTCCATGGAGAAGTTATGCAACAACGAGGAGAGCAATACACAGGCCCTTTCCCTGAAATAAAAGACATAATTTAGCCCCACACCCTAAATCGCTGTTGAAGCAAGAAAGGAAAACAAATAACAATTTCATTTTAAAGATGCAATAAAACTTGTTCATGATTCTGTAACCGTGGAAAGATGCAATACATGAATAATGAATCACTTACAGGACCGACAGGTTCTTCTCCATCTTCAGTGACAACAGAATCTCCTGGAATGCGGACTCTACTTTTGCAGCTGATGGGCATCGGTGAATACATTTGTTTGTAGCATGGACAATTCTAATGACACTTCCCCGGTTTTTAATATTTGAAAACAAAACCAAGTACTTAGGGATATGACCACGTAAAGGACCATATTCACATACTTTTGCCTGCACGGAAGACATTCCCAATGCCATTAAAGGATTCTGAGTGTCAAACAAATCACCACTATTACCACCGACCAAATCAAGAGCTCTAGAGGGATTTTGGTCGTCCCCCACCACCATCTCGCCAACCTGAAAATCTATCTCAGGAAGATTTGGGGAGAGAGGCACTTCTATGGCCAACTTGTAACATTCTTCATCCTCTGATTTGTCCAACTCTAGCAATTTCATATAGTTTGTAGCATCAACTTCCTCAAAACCTAAAGTAGCTGTTTCACGTCTATTTGCAGAGGAGAGGCATATCCTTTCCACAGAAGTATAATTACTTCCTTTTGGATTACCTGTTGGCTCAGGAGTCTTTCCAGAGGTCAGTGGATCTTCACATGTTTTGGCATCTGCCAATTTTATCTTCTTTGACTGTTTAGACTCATCACAACGCTGTGTTATTGTGTTCATCTCACAAAGACCCCTTTTCTTCTTGGGATTGGCGCCACGATTTATACAGGAACCGTCTTGCACATCAGGCAACGAAGTTTCTTCCTCTACAAAAGGTCTACTCACATTTCCTACTAACATAGACTGCAAAGTCATCACCTTCTCTCCTATACGTGATCTCAATTTCCTATCCTCAGAGTACAGATACTTAAGGGACTCAACTGCCTCTACCATTCTCTTTCTCTCACTAACTAACTCACTACTATCAGTCTGATGACTTTGAAGATGGTTTTCACCCACCAAACAGAGGTTTTCGTTATTACTGGCATCGGAAATTCTCGGGGACATGTTTGCATTTGTTGTTTGGATATCCATGTTATCTTTGCCAATTTCAGCTGAGGTAGTAACAGAGAATTGTCCTCTTTCCTGTGAGGCGATGAACTGTCCATCAGAAAAAGATGTTGCGCTGGAATTTACACCACAAGTCGCGAATTTTTTAGAGCCTCCGATCAGAGACTTCAATTCAGAAATAGTACCTGCGGCGGATTCACTCAAGTGCCGTCCAGATTTAGAAATCAACTGGGCAGTAAACTGCCGTGCCTGCTCCTGACAACCAGAGCGGGTTACTATGTTGCACCTTGCATCACAAGGTTTGTTTTTACTAATAAGGTTCACCTGGGATAATTCATTTAATCTCAGCAGGGTTCTGCAGCCCTTAGCCTGCATAGCAATAAAAAAAATTAGATATTAATGAATTAAATGATCAACACCACAAATCATAATGTTTGCAAACAAAAAAAGCTAACTCATGCTGGGGAAAATGCAAGCGTTTTATGATAGAAGCTACCATCTAAAAGACTTCGACACTCAGATCCAACACCGGGAACAATAACAAACCAAAGTTGTTCCATAGTCAGACAAAGAATCAGCTCTTGCTCAATACCCATATATAAAGACCTAAGGAATCTGAATAGGATGAGGCATAGGTTCTCATGCTCTACAAGGAATTTCAAGCAAAGTGGATAGACAGAGCTATTCACTCGGTAAAAACTAATTTAAAGAATGACATTGTTTCTTTACCCACCACGTTAAATAACAAAAAGATCCATCAGATAACTCACATGTCTGAAAAACCAGTAGCAAATATGGTATCAAGGGAAAGTGCCTGTATGCTCAGAAAACCAATTTTAAACTTAGGATAAGAAGGTAGAGTAACAATTTATGGAATAAACCGACCTTCTGACGATCATCTGTACCTTCCACGTCACTTGAAAAGTAGTCATCCAGTAGATTCAAGCGATTTGAGAAATGAGCGAACTCCACTTTCAGCCGACCAAGTTCATCAACCAGAACTTCTCTCCGAACTTTTTCGAGTTTAGCCAATTGTTTGGCATGTTTTACACGTTTCTTCTCAAACTTCAGTTCTTTTCTCAACAACTCTACCTCAGCACTTTCGAGATGTCTGACCTTGTGAGGCAAAATAGTCATAGTCTCTGCTGATTTCTGAGAAGATGATAATTCTTCCTGCCGTTTTTGTAAATCTTCAGTCACTAATCTTGCTTCTTTTAATTGCTGAGCTAGATCATCAGCACGGGATTTCCAGTCCATGGCCATTTTCTTATGCATCTCAAGGAGCCTTACATGCTCTTCGAGTTTCGTCGAGTCTTCAGCATTCTTTGCTTTGCTACTAGCGATCTGTAATTCCATTTTGTTCCTGAGCTCCTCGTTACTTCCTTTAACCCTCTCCAACTCCTTAGACAAATCCTCCATCAGCTTCATCTGTTCCTTAGCTTTTGCAAACTCCATAACTGTGTGTTTTTTCTCCTTCGATCTCTTTTGCTTTTCTAAATTAAGCTGTTTGCTTACAATCTCAAAACTATTACGCAAAGCAATCAACTCAGAACCAGTCTTATCAGCATTAGTTCTCAACACCTCCAACTCGGAAAGATACTTATCAGCTTTATTTTTCTCTGATTCTGCTTTCTTCCTCTCCACTTCTGCCCTCTGCTTCTCGTTTTCAAGAAGCCTCTTAAGGACATCATCAGTATCCTTTTTCTTCTTGTTCTCATCTTTCAGAGCCTCTATGTTTCTTAATTTTTCACAAACCTTTTTCCTTTCTTCTTCAACACTATCTGCCCTTAATTTTTCTTTGCGAAGAAGGTCCTTCAGTTGATGGATTTCCTTATCACCTTTAGAAACTTGACCACGAAGAAGCATCATTTCCGCATTCTTTTCTTCAAGGCTTTCCTCTAATCTTTGTTGCAGTGATGATAACTCAGACTTCAGATCAGATACTTCTTTCTCCAAAGAAACTCTTGCAGACTCTTCTTTCTCCTTCGTCTCTCTATCAACATCTGCCTTGACACCCTCCTCTTGTTGTTCTGCAGGGTATAGACAACAAATTGATTAAGAAATCATAATTAAGGGGAGAGAGAGATGTTAAAATAAGGGTAACTTCAGTCCCAATGGGTGACAGAGACTAGTAATAAGCTCAATAGCCATACTATCTGTTCTTCATTCAGGAAAACACCCATCTGACTGCGGCCATAAATTATGATTCTTTTGGAAGATGTCCATGCCGTTCCAAATCAAAGACAAAGCGTACACCGTTGGGTATAACAACAGTCATTTTCAAAACTTTATAGTGAAGCTCAAAAGTATCAAGGAAAAACACACCGTACCAAAATTCATCAGCAAGCATGACACTCTCCTCGTATCCCCTTCCATCTTATCTTTGCCACAAGTACATTAATGAAAGGAAGTTGAATATTTCATTTGAGCTCAATCCAAGGACACTTGTACAGAATTATCAAATATTATCTCACTAACACAGTTTCTAGTTCAAATATCTCTACGCCAAATTTTAGAATATTAACCCTAAAAAGGAATCAAGTCATCTGCTTTGCTAAACCAAAGCTAGAGCTGAGCACAAAGAGCAGTAAAAAAATAATGAAGACCACCACTAATATTCTTACTTTTCTTGAGATTACGAATCTCCTCCTGTTCCTTTTCTAAAGCATTCTTAAGAAGATCCACCGTTTCCTTGTAAGCACGTCTCATCCTCTTCATCTTCTCGCACTCGAGTTGCCACTGAAAAATCCAATAGAGGAAAAATTAAATATAAAAACAACTAAATCTCAAGTACGCAGAGAAAAAAAAACATTTAAGTGACGAAGCACGTACCGCAGCACAGCATGGATTCGCCGGATGCGACTTCGTCGGAGTAACTGCCGCCATGGCTAGATAAAGTATATTGCAGGAGATCCCACCTCCGATTATGGATTGAAAGCTCAAATCGTTCGCGACTTTCTCATTATTAGAAAGAACAAAAGCGACAAGAGCAGAGGACAAGATGAAATTGCAAAAACCCTAAACCCTAATCTTCAGCGAGGAGATGGGAGACGGAGAATTCGAGAAGAAGAAGGCGGGGTGAGGTGAGGCTCTCAAAGTCGGGTCAAATCGTCGGACCGGTTTACGCATTTGGGCTTTAAATCCAGTTCAGGCCCAGAAAATAATCAGGCCCGGTCCGTACGACCGGGTCCGACCCGGATCGATCCATATCTGTTGCCCGGAGCTCAAGAAACAAACATTTCCTCTCCTCCCTTTTCTTCTTCATAATTCCCTTTTCTTCTTCATTTCTTCACACTTCTATTTGCTCTCTGGTTGCTTCTTCTTCTGTTCGAATAAGGTATGTCTCAGTTCTCTTCGTTGGGTTGATCTAATCGAGATCTAGGGTTTTTTTGTCCTGCGTGGAACTGAGAGCCTGGGTTTTAGGTAGGCTCGATTGCAATCTTCTATCGGTTTTATGGTTATTATCGGAGAATTTCAACCACGGATAGATCTTTCGGTATCTGTTCAAGCAATTGAAGCAAGAGTTTTGTCGTTTTTTTTCTCGATTTTTGTTGTGAAAATTTGGGAGTAGAACTGATGTCGATAGATTTGGTCTAGACAAGGATTTGAAGTATTTAAAATACAGAACGAAACATAGATAGTAAAGTAGCGGTAAGAGTGTGATCTCGGAATCTGACGGAGTAGTTCTGTATATTATCTGGAACATAACCGATGTAACAACTTAATTTCACTACTTGCGGTCTATTCTGTGATTTTTGTCTTTGTGTAACGTGTTTAGTTGCCGAATGAGATTTAAAGCGAATCCTCTTGTCTTCATGCTTCTGTAGGATTTGACAATGAAGCTTGATACAAGTGGGCTCGAGTCAAATGTGCCTATGTTTGGCAGAAACTGCGAGAGCGAGATGCTGGATGGGTTGTCCGATGTGCCCTCCTTTGATCTTCCCCTCGCAAACGATGTATGCTTTAGTGACTCAATTTTATTTGGTTTGGATCAGCAATGTGGTTGCTGAAGAATAATTCCCTTTGCTGTCATTTGATTGCTAGATCATCTTTGTGGATTTCAGTTTGATGGGTTCCAAAAGGAAGCTGTACAGATGGTGAAGCCTGCAAAGGGTACGACCACACTCGCCTTTATCTTTAAGGAGGGTGTCATGGTTGCTGCTGATTCTCGGGCAAGCATGGGAGGATATATCTGTATGCTCTCTTAACCATTTAGTTTTCACGCTTATACCATGACATCTGGTCTCCAGATTCTGATGGTCTTTACTTTATGTGTACTTTTTTCTATTTCTTGATGATGTTGAATTTGGGTGTGAAATTAGAATTATGATATGGAGTGCTTCCTGTTGCTTTAATTATGCTGTTGAGTGCCTGTCGAAGTTCTCGTCTTCTTTGGCTGTGATTCTAGACAGTAGTGGTGCCAGTGAGGCAGTGTGTGATGCCTGATCTGATATTTCTGCTTTGCTTCCCCCATGTAGCATCACAGTCTGTGAAGAAGATTATTGAAATTAATCCTTATATGCTCGGAACAATGGCCGGAGGAGCTGCTGACTGCCAGTTCTGGCACAGAAATCTGGGTATTAAGGTACCTAATTTATGTTTTCTTTGCCATCTCTGCTTATGCTTGTGGGCTTACGTTTATCTTCTTGCTTTCTATAGAAAATTTATGCTTTTCCAAAGGCAATGGATCTGCCTGGCCTGGTGTAAGAATTTAGGGTTATATGTTTTTTCTACTAAGGTTGAGGATGTTTTTGAGCTTGTCTAGTGGTGGCTCTAAGACCATACGTCTCTTTACAGCGTAGGCATGCATTTGTTTGGGGCATATGGTGTCCATTGCTCTGGCATTTTATGAACAAAACATTTTCTTGGCTGCACACATCCTTTTTTGTTTCAGTGATGTATTAAATAAGAAATACCATGAAAAGATTAACTACTAATCGTCTGGTAAAAAACTATGATGGATTTGGTCCATTTCCATCTTTTCATAGGTAATGTTAAACACTGAGAGTCAGGATTGATGGGTGCAAGGAGTTGCAGCTGCTTTTCTTTTGAATGTGTTCTCTATGTGCTGCATTTTCGTGCAGTTTTGTAATGATCTAACTCGTGTACTTAGTATGTTAGAACTATGATTTGATAAAAATAAAAATAAAAAAGTTATCCATCTGTCAATCCAGTGCCGTCTACATGAACTGGCAAACAAGAGGAGAATCTCTGTTTCTGGAGCATCAAAGCTTCTTGCCAACATGCTCTACTCATACCGTGGGATGGGGCTTTCTGTTGGGACAATGATTGCTGGATGGGATGAAACTGTTAGTATACAAAACTTTGTTACTCAAACTGTTATTTGACCTTCCCCGTCATCTTCTTTCACTGATGTTCCTTTCGGAACAGGGTCCCGGGTTATACTATGTTGACAACGAAGGAGGACGGATCAAAGGAGACAGATTCTCAGTCGGATCTGGTTCACCATACGCCTATGGTGTTCTCGACAGTGGGTATGTCTCTCTTTCAAGAAACACCCTTTCTGATTTATTTTCCGCCTTCTCGGCCCAACTACTCGGTACCCAACCATTCAAATCTCGTATATCTCATTCTCAGGTACAAATACGATATGACGGTGGAGGAAGCCGCTGAGCTAGCGAGGAGATCCATCTACCATGCCACATTCCGTGATGGAGCCAGTGGTGGAGTGGCTAGTGGTACTGTATCACTTAAATCTCCACATTCCTTTGTTCACACTTGTGAGATCAAAATTTTCAAGATTGTGAGTATTATTATCAGCTCATGATCTGTTCTCGCACATTATGATCAGTGTACCATGTTGGGCCGAATGGATGGAAGAAACTGTCGGGAGATGATGTAGGAGAGCTCCATTACAAGTACTATCCGGTGACGCCGAGTTCTGCAGAACAAGTGATGTCTGAAGCATGAGATTGTGTGGTAAAAACCTCTTTCGATCGTTCGTTTTCTTTGTCGAACCAACAAAAGAAATTGGGTTTTCGTCTACCATTGTTGATCTGGAGATCTCAGTGTAGTGTTGGATCCTAGTTTATGACCACTTGTTATTGTCTTACCGTATGGTTTCTCACGAAAATGCACGGATTCCTCAGTTTTTACGTGCAAGTTACTGAAAAATCGAACCTTGGTTGACTACATATGTCGTATAAGAACGATTACTGTCAAAACCAGTGTTTTCAATCTGCTTCAATGGTGATTAAATCGGTAATTCACATGAAACTTTATAACTTGGGGTGATTATCATTAAATTCTGAGCTTATATATGTAAACCAAATTCAACGGAGAAAATTAGAATGTTAAAAAAAAAAAAGATTTTTGAGGGCCCATCCGTAAATACACGGTGCTTTTGCTGTTGAGTACTATGCAGTCCACATGGATTGAAGATGCTTGGTTTTGGTTTCGGTAAACCGATACCGGTCCGGTTTAGATGCTATGGGGAATCTAATCGTACTGGTTCTCAAACATCAAACCGGTCATTTCGTCTATCCCGCTTCTGTTTTGCTCACATAAACCCTACAGCGTCGAGCTTCGACGTCCTTCCGCATTTCTCCGATTCGACGCAGAAGAACGAAAACCCAGAAAAATATGCCTCCGAAAGCAGCGAAAGCTAAGGATGCAGCTCCCGCCGAGAGACCGATCCTCGGCCGTTTCTCTTCCCATCTCAAGATCGGAATTGTACTTCTTTTTGTCTACCTCTCACTCTAGTCGTTTTTCCTCTCTTTTTTTAATCTGGGTTTGTTTCCCGTTTCTCTGATGTTGGAAAAAGTTACCGAATTTGTAGAACCCAGATCGTGTTATCGCATAAAGTATAGATCTTTTGTATTTGCGCGCGAACGGCATTTTTAGTGCTTAAGCCTGATGAGGTTTCCAGTCATTGAAATGGTTTTTTTTTTTGGATTTTCTGGTGGAAATCCGATGATTTCTTGTTCGCGAGGTTATTCTAGTTTCGGAAACTGCGAAGTTGTGCCTGGGTTAATTGCAGAATTTGAGAGATGCAGAATCATGGCTATGATTTGATGCAGGATCTGTTCAATATCTGAATAAGACAGGTTTGATTTGATCGTCACATGTTTGGTCCGTGGCATCTCAGGTCGGGTTGCCGAATGTCGGAAAATCTACTCTTTTCAACACGCTTACGAAGCTGTCGATCCCTGCTGAGAACTTCCCCTTTTGTACCATTGAGCCGAACGAAGCACGTGTAAATGTTCCCGATGAACGGTTTGATTGGCTTTGCCAATTGTACAAACCCAAGAACGAGGTCAGTTTGAACTCAGTATCCTTCCTGCATTGCTGCTATTGCTGTGCTTGCCCTTTTCTTCAGAATGAATCCACTTGTTCTCTGTATGATGCTTGAATGGATCTTGGAATTGGTCGTATTTCTCAATCTGCTTTATGTGTACTTTAGGTTTCAGCTTTCTTGGAAATCCACGACATTGCTGGGCTTGTTAGAGGTGCCCATCAAGGGCAGGGTCTCGGCAACAACTTTTTGTCCCACATTCGTGCAGTCGATGGAATTTTCCATGTTTTACGTAATCTCCTTCCTTTCTGTTATGCATTCTTTGCTCTTGCCATAATTCTTAGTTGATTGATATGAAGTTCTTCTTGCCTTTTCGAGTGTGAGACTGATTAAAAAATTTATCTTTTTCGCTTTTCTTACTCCATGGGTCTTTATGCTAATTTTATTTGCATTCTTCTCTCTTATATCTATTCATATTCTTGTATTTCTGTTCCTTTTAAACAATCAAGGTGGATGCTTTTATTCTGGTCAAATAGTAGGATGAGATCTCTGAGCAGTATTGCTTTGGTAATTAACTTATCGACTGAATATGTACAGGTGCATTTGATGATGCGGATATTATCCATGTTGATGATACTGTGGATCCTGTGAGAGATTTGGAGACCATAACTGAAGAGCTGAGGTTAAAGGTAAACTCTGTAATGCATATCGATTTCTAGTTCTCCAAACTTTTAACAAACGAATTATCTCACAATTCTGTTATGCTTCTGTTAGTTAGATCTTATTACTCATTGTAGTGGCATTCATTTGTGTAGTTTTCATAAATAATTCATTTTGTGCAACCTTTTTTTGGCACGTTCATTTCGTGCAACTTTAGGATATTGAATTTGTTGGGAGGAAGGTCGAAGACCTTGAAAAGAGCATGAAGAGGAGCAATGACAAGCAGCTAAAGATAGAGCTGGAACTGTGTCAAAGGGTTTGGCTTTGAATTTTTTTACCAATTATTTTCTGCTGAATGTTTTAAGTAATTCACGGCTGTTGAGAAGAAAAATGATTCCACCTCTTCGGTATAGGTAAAGGCATGGCTAGAAGATGGGAAGGATATCCGCCTTGGGGACTGGAAAACTGCTGATATTGAGATTATGAACACTTTTCAATTGCTTACTGCAAAGCCTGTTGTTTACTTGGTGAGTTCTCTAGAATTTCATCATCATGTGTGTGTGTGTATATATAGTTATCTTGATCTACATTGATTCTCAACTTTCTCCGCTCTCCATGTTAACCAATTTCTTGCAACTAATTTTCTTGGCCTCCTAAAGGGAGTTGTCTGGATTGTCTCTTGATCACTGATTGTTCCTTTTTTTATCTGCAGGTCAACATGACCGAGAGAGACTATCAGAGAAAGAAGAATAAGTTCTTGCCGAAGATTCATGCTTGGTACTTGCATTTATCCCTGCATAAACTGTTTTAAATTATAAGTGAGCATTTTTTAACTCTATTGCGGAGTGAATGTTTTCAGTGCGATATGTAGCGCAATTTTCTTTTTCCATAAGATTTCTCTGTTAAAATAAATGGTATTTTATTTGTCCTTATGTAGGGTTCAAGAACATGGCGGTGAGCCAATCATTCCTTTCAGCGGGGCTTTGGAAAGAAATCTTGCTGATATGTTACCAGACGAAGCAGCAAAGTATTGTGAGGAGAACACAGTGCAGAGGTTGGTGGTAAAACAAACAATTTTGCTCCGAGTGAATACCCGCTTTAAAAAAACGTCTTTTCCATCCAACTCGTAATGTGAATGTAATGGTTGTTGCTTGTTCCTCAGTGTTCTTCCAAAGATTATCAAAACTGGGTTTTCAGCCATTAATCTTATATACTTCTTTACAGCTGGACCTGATGAGGTAAATTATGCTCCCTTGCTTACCCTCTTCAGTACGACAGTCTACTGACCAGAGTACAACTTTGGTTTTCATTATGTCGAGCTGTAATTTTGCGGGTTAATGTTATGCTTCTGAGCATTGTTCTTCTTAACTCTGAGCTTTTTGGGGGCATATGATCACTTAAATTGCAAGAATAATGTCGTAGTTTCTTGGGAATTTGGCAGTTCTACCTATCACATCGATCATTGTCATTTTCTTTTTGTAGGTGAAATGCTGGCAGATAAGGCGGCAGACAAAGGCTCCCCAAGCTGCAGGGACCATTCACTCTGATTTTGAGAAAGGATTTATTTGTGCTGAGGTTATCTTCTTCTCATTTCTCATGATTTTCCTCGGTCGCTTATTTTTTTTCTTTTAGCTGCCTTGAAATCCCTCGAAAATTCATCATCAAACATGTAGCTCTACTAGCTAGCTTTCACACCATTTTTTGCCCAGGTTGAAAGCTTGTCTTTTTCCATCTGTATGGCTCACTCTACAGCTCTTGTTGATTATCGCAGGTGATGAAATTTGAGGATCTCATGGAACTTGGCAGTGAAGGCGCAGTTAAGGTACATTTCTAACGCTCCCTTTGCTCTTTGTTAAGGTATCTCAAGCGAGCAAGCTCCGACTGGACATGAAGAACGAACTCTCTGAATCTTGCTGTCTTATTATTCCCCTTTCGTGGGTTACTTAACTCCGGTTTCCGTCTGCTGCAACAAATATACGTTTGCAGGCTGCTGGAAAGTACAAGCAGGAGGGGAAAACATACGTTGTTCACGACGGAGATGTCATATTTTTCAAGTTCAACGTCTCCGGCGGTGGGAAGAAGTGAGCTCCGTCCATTTCTAAGAGAGAGGAAGAAACTTGTGTTTTTGGGTTTGGAATATGCCCTTTTTTGCTGTTAGCTTGTGATACCAGAAGAAACTTTGTTTTTATAGTCCAAAATTTTATTGAACTTTCGGTTTAACTACATCTTTCGAAAAACATGAAAAGTGTATGTGAATATCTTTTTTTTATATAGAGATTCGAATCTAAATTGAAAATGAATTTTGTTCTCAAATTTATGAGTTGAATCACCCAATCTATAAGAAATAAACTTTTGCCCAATTACAAGCGTATCTTGTAGGACCTTTCTTGATAAATCAAACTGGAATGAAATTGCGAAATCGCCCTTTTAGATTTTCTGTCTTCTCATGCGTTGAAGAGTACAGTGAATGCATATATATATATATATATAATAACAAATGAGAAAGGTAATAAGAAAACTAGTACTTTAATTAGTTGGCATAATGGGTGTCACATGATAAGTAGTACTATATGGCCCCAACCATTTCGTCTAATACAGTTGTTAATTGAATATTGAAAAAAAAATATGGAGATCTTTTGAATAATAATCAAATCTGAAATCGAATTAACCTCTTAATTCAATACGATATCTGGATATAAAAAGGCGAGTGGAACATATATACTGTCCAATAATAGAGAGAAAGAATAGAGAACTATTTGATTTTTCATTATTTAAAATAGAACATTATAATATTTATAGGTAAAAATAAGATAATAAAATATCTTATTTAATTAATATAATAACTACTATATAGTTATAATATCAAATCTATAATATTATGTAATTAATCTTCGTTAGACGTACTAATGTAATGTCCGACCAATGTTGTTGGCCCAAAAAAAATCCAAAAAGAGATTTTGATCGTATTTCAGTAGTCTCTAATCAGATGTCTTGTTCATTTGTTTCTTCACCAACAGAATCATTTCATCTTCAGACAAGTGATCTTTGTACATATATATGTTGTATGTATATATGTACGTACATATGTATGTATGTGGCAATAGTACTCTGATCATCATCGTCAAACTTCAAATAAATAGATACCCACATGCATATACAAGCGTTAACATGTTGCATATAGGAGTTTACACACACAAGTGTCTTTGTG